TAGTTTGGCTGCCAGCAGTCAATCACTGGACCAGACTGGAAAACAATAGTCTTTCAAATGCTTTCCAAAATTCAAGTCCAATGGGGAAGGCAGTACCTGTTATACGGTTAGATATCAACTTTGCTTATATCAGAGGAAACAAAAAAAGGAAAAAGGTACACAGTCCTAAAAGTGACTGGTACTGTCAACATGGTCTCTGCTTCTCAGAGGATAATACAAATTTTGGAGGGACTCTTCATTGCCTATTTCTCCCGGGGAAATAGTGAAATTTAGTTAGGTTTTCTTATCTTTAAGGAGAGAGGTACTAGAGCAATGACAAGGAGGAAAATGGAAATCATAGCGTAGCTGATTGCAGTCTGATTGATGTTTGGCAAATTGCATCTGAGCAAAAAGTATTGTGTTTCATTTTCCCTTTAAATCATTTCCACTTGAAATTCAGAATTATCTACAGTGCTGGAATCAAATCTTTGAGGCTGTGTCTTTGGGAGTCTTAAGGAAAAGGAAATTGATGAAACTGATGCTTAGCCTCTCTGTCCACACCTCCCAGCCTCACTTGCTTGTCTGGTTTCTACCCGCAATGATGGGGTGCAGTTTGATGATGTGAAGCTCGGGTAGGGGAAGTGAGAATTTCAAATCAAGCCCCCAGTCCTTAAAGTTTTCACAGCAAATAATGCTCCTACACAACTGTCATGTTCTTTTGCCTGATTCTAGCTCTAGACTCAGGTTTTGGTGATGTGGTAGATTAATCCACATAGTCTTTAAGTTCTATTTCACATGATTATTATACACTCCTGAGACTTGGATCTGGATCCAGAGTCAGGAGAAATTATAGAACAAAAACAAGCAAGAACTGGCTTCTGTGACCTGCATCCATGACACATACCCTAACAGCAACCATTTTCCAATTCAACTCTCAGGTCCTTAGAAAGCCTTTTGCTGGGCCCAGGGAATTGGAAAGCACATTCATTATTACTGTGAAATTCTGTGTGATGGGGAGAAATTAGTTTTATAATCAAAAAGCAGCATTTGCAAGTCAAGAGGAGGGAACCAGAGTATGAGGGCAGGACCTGTTTCTAAACACTCCTCTCCTTGGCCTAGCATTCATTGTTTAAAAAAAAAGAAAAAGTCAACATTCAGTGTTCCATCCCTACATCAAACTATTGTACTCTTCTTGGAGAGCTCTCTCATAAGCTGAGAGTTAAATTTCCCACCTTAAAGGCAATCACCTGTCACTCTCTTCTGGCTTATGTCAGCCTTGTCCCACCACCTCTTGGATGTGGACTTTGTGCTCACCACCCCCCATCCAGCTAATTCAACTATTATTAGCTTCAAAGGGAACTGAAATTGTGCACTCAGCCCCCTGGTCTTATGTAGGGCAGCTTTGTAGGTCTCTGAGCTGTAGGGTCTTAGGCTGAGACACCAGGCTAGGAGGCAGGGCACAGATGTTTGAGGCCAGGCCCTGGTTACCTGTAAGGCAGAAACACAATGTGCTCCTAGAACACCCAATAGATGTTTTTTGGAACTGGCACCAAAGTCTTAGTGGAGCCCCGTGAGTCAATTTTTTTCCTATATTTCCATGGATAATTTGAGTTCTGGGACTGGGGCTGCCAACCAGTTTACATTACAAATTCAAACTAATAGATTAACTTGTAGTTAGGAGATGGAGTAGTACAGATGTGAAGTGGGCCAGAAGACACTGAGTCACTGAAGAAGCTCCGTAACTACTTTTATTTTTAAATACATAAATATTGAAACTATAGTCCCCACTTACTTCTTATATCTTCAGAAAACACAATGAAATCTAAAAGAGCATTCAGGAGCAGGGGAGACAGGGGCAGGAACACTTTGGCCCAGGTTTCCCAGATAGTTGCTTGGTCCTCACATTCCCTTTGGTTAAGCTGACTGACATGAACACGTCCCTGCAAATCACAAACTTCCTGAAGCTTGGAAGGTTTGGGAGAGAGGCGGTTAGCCTGGTCACAGTGATCAGGTTGAACAAATTTTCAGGGCTTAAGTTATATCTAAAGTTAAGTCTTTAGATTTTGAGTAACACTTGTTACAGATATCGAAGTTCTTAGAGGACAGGTGGGATCCTCTATGTGACTCTAACACAGATGTTGTATAAGTTTATAAATTAAGAAGACTGTTCAGAAAAGGAACACACTTCTTGTTTTGTTTACCAGGACATAATCTTAGCATTTTGTTAGTACTCATTAAAGGAGAAAGTCTGAAAATAAAATAACAATTGCTCAAACAAATGCAGTTGAAACGCACGTTGAAATCTATAATGATATCCATGGAATAAGGAAACTATTCTCAAGAGATAAAAAGTTAAATTTCTAATTGAAGTTTTGAATTTTACACAACTTCAAATTTTGGGTTAATTCAAATATAAACTAGACTAGAAAATACATGGCAACTTCATGGAGTGCATTCTGTTTATTTTAAAAAAGGTTTAACTCAGTCAGATAGTCTTTCCTCTGGTTGGCATAATGCCAAAGAATGGATTAAATAAAATAAAACACTTTTCTTTCAATTGTTTTGAACATCTAGACCTTACTTTAGAAAGAGGGGCTGAGAAAAATGTATTACAAAATCTGCATTGTGCTCTTTCTGAAATGCTAAGATTCAGAGCTCAATGTCATAAGTGCACAAACTTCCTCAGACATCCACCTTGTCAGCTCTATTATATCCTTCAAAGCCAATCTCCCCAGACCAAAGCAATCACTGACAACTGCTTGTTGAATTTAGAGTTCAGAATCCCAGACAAGCAACCAGTCATGGTGGTACACACCTGTAATCACAGCATTTGGGAGACTGGGAAGGCAGAATCACAAGTTGGACACCAACCTAGCTACATAGTAAGACTCTGTCTCAAAATGAAAACAAACAAACAAACAAAAAAAATCCCAAGCAAGGCTTAATTGTCCAACTAAACCAGACTATGGCTGAGTCATACCCTTAAAAAGCCTAGGAGACAGAATTTCGAGTTTGGTTTGGTTTTTTGTTTTGTTTTTTATGGACAAATTTCCTTTCTAACTCACAACTCCCTTGAAAAATTAATCATAATACATCTCAAACCAAGGATAGGATAGCAAACAAGAAATATCACAATTCAAGAGAGGCAAGTGGTCTAGGCTTGTGGTTTCCAGCCGTTAATGCAGGGTTATCAGTGGCTTCAGCTATGCAAGAAAACAAAACGGAGGTTTTCTCACACCGGTTGAAAGCAGATTCCCGGAAAACCCTTTGAAAAAAGTCTCAGTCTCTCTCTTGTCTAGAGCTAGAGCCAGAAAAAAAAAAGAAGTCAGATTCTTAGGAATCAATCTCCTGCCCTGAGTAATCGGAACAGAATCTAACCTTTTAGCTTCTTGGTGGTGAAAAAATGAAAAATTTTGGTACAGTGATAAGGAGCCTTCTCTGAACAGCTTCTTCCTTAGTGAAGCCCAGATCAGCCACGGTCTGTCTACAAACTGGTGAAAAGAGGGACTTCCTAACTAACAATCACTCCCTCTCAATCAGACAGAAATAAGTGATTGATTATATCTCTCCTACCATGGGACTCACAGCTGAAGCTCAAGCCTAGATTCAGGGTAGAGCATTAGAAAAACCATTTTTTCTATTTATGCATTCATTATGAAGGTGTTCTGTTTAGTAATACTTAATGTCTTGTTTGTAGACCATAGAAGATAAAAGTACACTAAAATTTTCAACTTATTTCTCACTTGACAGCAAGAAGCCTAATTCTTCAAAGTTATAAATAGTAAAAGCCATATTCACAGAAGCAGTTAGTATTGATAATAAGGAATAGATCTTTTTAAAAGACTGGAAATATACACAGATCATCGTTCACAGGTCGGTTGTCTTTCCTGATTCCAGGTACTAGCAAGGTTCTTTCTTTAGTAGCTATTTAAAGACAGCCTAAGATTCCAAGTCTCCATGGACATAAAATTTATCACAATTCAGAATCTTCAATAAGGCACAGTGAGAAATAGTCTGCTACTTTTCTCAAAGCTTCAAGATTTTTGGTTTTAAGGAAAGAAAAAGATGCATACACAGGGTAGCAGATAGATGACATGACAAGGCAAGACATGAAAGAAGAGAAGGCCAGTAGGAGACTCAATTACTGGGACCACCATTCCATCGCTCCTCTTGGAATAAATCAAGAAGAAAGGGACTTAAACTGGTTTTATGTTTATAAGTACTTTCTGCGAATGATAGTTTTTATCCTCTGATTAAAGACTCAAAAGAGGTGGTACATGCCTATAATCCCAGCACTCAGGAGACTGAGGCAGGAGCATCATGAAATCAGAACCAGCGTGAGCTGCATGGCAAGTTATAAGACAGCCTGAGCTACATATTGAGATCCTGCCTCAAGAAGAAAAAAAAAAGACTCAAAAGAAATTGTAAAAGAGGCCCTTAAAAAAGAATATGTATTTATCTAAAGACAAAGAGATATACCACTTAACTTCAGCAAACCCCTTCCAGCCCATGAAATAAGGACAACACCCTGCAGTAACTCCAACACTGCCCTCCTCAGAGCATTTGAACCAATTATACAGATTGTCTCAGACCCTTGATTCTTTAATTGATATAATGCAAAGCATGCGCACCTTTCCAAATCTCCCTCAAGGGGCTGGTGTATTTAAAATAAACCAACTGGTGTAGATAGGCATTCAGCCAGACCTCAACTATCCAAAGGGTTGATGAATAAATCATAGATAATTGAAACTCAGATGATCAAAAAACTTTGTAGTTGTTATTTTCCATCTCTGTTTCCAACTCCCTTACCAGCTCTCAACTAGAAGTCCTGCTAACGACCACTCATTTCTTCTCATCTTGACTATCTTTCATGGAGGTGCTAACAAGACTAGGCAACTAATAGAATGCAGGGAGGTCTGGACTGTAGTGTTTTACCCTTGGAGAGTGAAGTAACCACCACCATTGAACTCCCACAAGGTTGTAAAATAATCATACACAAAATAAATTGATTATATTTACAGGGATTCAGCCTCCTACCAAACCATCTGTTTTCATCATGAAAAATGGAACAAAAGTTGCTTGTCTGGTGAAGGATTTCTATCCCAAGAATGTACAGATAAGTTTCAAACCATCCGAGAAGATAGCAGAATTTGACCCCGCTATTGTCATCTCACCCAGCGGGAAGTACAGTGCTGTCAAGCTTGGTCAGTATGAAGATTCAAGTTCAGTGACATGTTCTGTTCAATACAACAATGAAACTGTGCACTCTACTGATTATGAACCAAAGAAAAGTTCTTTGGGTAGGTATCTGGCTTCAGGGAACTGGAAACTGTGGGAGGGAAGCTGGTGAAATATAGTCAGTGGTGTGAATTCTGAGCAGACCATTTTCTTTTTTTTTTTTTTTTTTTTTTTTTTTCATTTTTCTTTTATTATTCATATGTGCATACAAGGCTTGGTTTATTTCTCCCCCCTGCCCCCACCCCCTCCCTTACCACCCACTCCACCCCCTCCCGCTCCCCCCCTCAATACCCAGCAGAAACTATTTTGCCCTTATCTCTAATTTTGTTGTAGAGAGAGTATAAGCAATAATAGGAAGGAACAAGGGGTTTTGCTGGTTGAGATAAGGATAGCTATACAGGGCATTGACTCACATTGATTTCCTGTGCATGGGTGTTACCTTCTAGGTTAATTCTTTTTAATCTAACCTTTTCTCTAGTTCCTGGTCCCCTTTTCCTATTGGCCTCAGTTGCTTTAAGGTATCTGCTTTAGTTTCTCTGCATTAAGGGCAACAAATGCTAGCTAGTTTTTTAGGTGTCTTACCTATCCTCACCCCTCCCTTGTGTGCTCTCGCTTTTATCATGTGCTCATAGTCCAATCCCCTTGTTGTGTTTGCCCTTGATCTAATGTCCACATATGAGGGAGAACATACGATTTTTGGTCTTTTGAGCCAGGCTAACCTCACTCAGAATGATGTTCTCCAATTCCATCCATTTACCAGCGAATGATAACATTTCGTTCTTCTTCATGGCTGCATAAAATTCCATTGTGTATAGATACCACATTTTCTTAATCCATTCGTCAGTGCTGGGGCATCTTGGCTGTTTCCATAACTTGGCTATTGTGAATAGTGCCGCAATAAACATGGATGTGCAGGTGCCTCTGGAGTAACAGTCTTTTGGGTATATCCCCAAGAGTGGTATTGCTGGATCAAATGGTAGATCGATGAGCAGACCATTTTCAAATTAGCATCATGATGGAAAAAAGATTCAGGGTATCCATCACTGACTGGGAAGAAAATGCTCTGCAGCTCTAGCTGGAATCTAAGAAAAGGCCCAGTGTATGTCACCTCTACTCTCATCTTCACCAACCACTGTCTCATTTATACAAATGACTGCCCTAGCACTAGGCTCTGGGATCAAAGGTTCATGTACAATCCAGTCCAGCATGACGTTCCAAAACAAAGGGCAGCCCACCCTGTTGTGAGGCTAAGAATCCTAGTAGAACCTGTCTAATAGTGCATGTCTGAATGATGGCTTCATGGTGCCAGAAAGACCCAGCACAGGAAGAGTAAACACCTGTATGACTTTAACTAAGTCATACTCTCTGGCCCTCATTTATTTACCTTACGTCTCCTCCAGGTTTAAAGCCCCTTTGAGTCTCTTGGTTGTCATTATAACCTTGACCACTGCTGTTTGTTCCAGATAATCCAAAACCAACGGAAACTGAAAATGTGAAACAAACTTCAGAACCAACTTGCCATGAACCAAGAGGTTAGTCCACATCAAAATGCCAACTTCAGAATTGAGGGTTAAAGCAAACTTTGTAGTTGTCAATTGGGACCATAAAGCATCAGATTTCAAAAGTAAACAAAACTGTACTTGAGTACAGCCTCTGACTGTTGTAGCAGAACTTGCCTACCTGTAAGCATGGACTTCCAAAGCTTGCCTGGCTGGGTCTGAGCAGCAAGCAGCCTGAGGTCTCTGAGTGCTGCCCAGCACCAAGATAGGCATGCCTGCCAGAAGAATCATTGTGGTTTGGGTCAGACTGCTGTCAGAATTGTTGACATTGTAGAAGGGAATTGAGTCTCTCCTAAAGTCACCATCTTCACTCTTATTCAAACACAGTTCATACCGAGAAGGTGAACATGATATCCCTCACAGTGCTGGGGCTACGAATGCTGTTTGCCAAGAGTATTGCCATCAATTTTCTCTTGACTGCCAAGTTGTTTTTCTTTTAAGGTAAGAGTTAGCCACTTCTTATTCCCACCTTCACTGTATTACGCTGTGTATGGGGAAAGGAGGTTTAGAAGTGGTAATAAACCAAGAAACATTGGGAAGGGAGAAACACACAGAGACATATTAAGAATAAATAAGATAGGCTCTCTCAAACTCAGCATAGCATCCCATCTCCTGTTATCCTTTTATTTTAAGCCAGACTCACCTATTACATACTATAAGGTACTCTCTATTTTCTAATATAACAGCCAATAACCACCACCTTTCCCCCACCCTCAGGGATAAAATTCAAGCTAAATAAGAAAATTAGTCTTCTTTAACTGCTATTTTGGCCTGGCATGGTAGTACATACCTGTAATCCCAGCTACTCGAGAGGTGGAGACAGGAGGATTGTGAGTTTAAAGCAAGCCCAGGCAAAAGTTCATGAGACTTTGTCTCAAAAACAAAATAAGAACACAAGACTGGAAGCATAGCTCAAGTGGTAAACACTTGCCTAGCAAATGCAAGGCCCTGGGTTCAATCCTAGGGTGGAGGGAGACTGTTTGACTGAGGGACCATGGGTTATTTACAAAGCCAATAGTAAAACTTTGCCTGAGGAGTAATCAAGGGACAAAGAACCTGTCTTTGCCCCAGATAAAGGGAATGCCATCTCCCACTCCTTAATCATAGGGCCCTGATGTGTACACCACCCCGCCTGGGGGATGAAACTGCAGACCCACTAGCAGTGAACAGTCTACCTTAAGATATCAGAATATGCATAAAGTTGGAGCTGAGGTTTTATTTATTTGCCTATTACCTGCATTACCTCTTCCCATAATCTTATACATGGAATTGGACCACAGCTCGGCTTTGCCTGTAAAGATCTTTCCTCTATTCCTTTCCCAGTCCTCATCAGTCCCAGCTCATGTGCTAGGAACAACCATAGACTTACAGTGTTGGGCTGGTCTGTCCCAGACTGTAAACAAACCCAGTCCTTCCCAAATGGATGCCCACCCCTACCTATTACTTTACTAACAGCCCCAAGGGCACAGGCAGCATGGCTGTATAAAGGGTGCTATCCTAAGAGTCAGAAGACCTAAGTTTTAGTCCTGACCTTGTCACTAACTCACTACATTCCTCAAGCTAGATTGTTTTCCCAATCTCGGCCTGGATTTAAGAATGACTACAGAAGAGCAAACGGGTGGCATGACTTGTGTCAGCACTGACTGATAGACTCTGCTGACTAGTTGAACGATTGCCATGTGTAGGAGTGACATGTTCCATAATGGATTAGTGACAGTGGTACAACATAGCTATCCCCACATGGTTACCACCCCTACAATTCCTTCCAGCACTCGTGGTCTGTGATTCTGTAACAACTCTCTTTCACTTGCAGGCTGAGTAGTCTGATGAGGCTACACTCCCTGAAAGAAGCTTATGTTGATGCTGCATCCTTGGCTTCTGAGTTCTTGGTGATTCAAGTTGATCTGTCATAGCTTTAAATGGCTGCTATCCAAACCAATTTCCCTTTGAAGGCAACAAAACCCAGCTCATTCTCCAGTCTGGTAGAAAAGAAAAGTCCTGGGGACTGGGGGGTTATGATCTTGACTCCTTTACATACTGCTTTATAAAGGGATACAGAGATATATAAATATAGACTTATTTTATGTTACTCCTACAACTAATACACTTGGAAAATGATGTTTTATTCGTCTTTACTTTCTTTACCTCCAGAAGTAGAAAGTAGGAAGTAACAGGTCCCCAACTCCATTTGCCATGAGGAAAATAGGCCCTGGGAGGAGAGCAGGTATCCTTTTTTCTAAACCTGGAAGGCTGTGCTCAACCTAGCACTGGATTTGCACCAAGCCAGCATCTGCATCCTTTTCTACAGTGACTTGACCTGCTCTCCATATTTGCTCTGATAGCCACAGTAGAGATTTTGCAGGGCAATACTGGGGCCGGGAACATTTTCAGCACTTTCTGCTTTTCCTAGTACTTTATAAACAAAATTACATTTGGTTTCTCCAATACTCTCTAAGCCAGCAATGGGATTTCTAAAATCTCATCTAAACACTCTCTACTCTCTTAGCAAAGATGAAGTAAAATATAGAGGAAAGGCAGCTCTATGTGAATTGGTCTCACTTATACAAACTGACTAAGTCCCAGGCACTGTACTGAGGGTACAAAGATGAAGAAGGCATGGGCCCTGGCCAACAACTTGCTGTGCAAGTGTTTTGGAAGGAGGGATAAGAATGAGACCTCTCTCTTTCTTTGTAAAAATAATGTCTTTATTGCCTTTTGCCTGCTAATCTGTGCACGGGGAGTTTGAGATCACTGGACTCTGATTCTTTGCCTAGGCCTTTGATGTTGGTAGTTTTCTGTCTTTCTTCTCAATGCCTGTCTCTGTTGCATTTTATTAAACTGTATTTTGTGCATCTTGCCTCTGGCTTTACTCATTACAGACTCTGGGGAGGAAAAGAGGGGGTTCAGCTCTGTGAAATCACTATGAGTCACCAGAAAGCCAAACTAGCTTATAGGTCACACCACAGTTTCTTGAGCCCCCAACCTGAGGCTCCTAACTGGGGGAGGTGGCCCTGGGTTTCCTGCTGCTATTACAGCAATAACAACAGCAGTGTCTTGGTGTGGTGTTGAGCCCTGCCACCACCACCTCAGCAAGGCCACAGCTTTTACCAGGTGTGCCTGCTAAGGTAGCAGACCCTAGCAAGCCAGCACTGTGGTTTTCTCAGTTCCTGTGTGTGGCAGGTCGAGTGCAGGACAAGTGAAAGAGCAACTATCACCAACAGATCCCCCATGTCACCACCAAGTGCAGACTCCCACATCATGTCATCACAGCGAAACCAAAGGAGGCAGGAACGCCATGAGTCAATGCATTTAGGATAATGTAGTGGATAAGTGAGGTATAACCAGGGAAAACAATCAAAAGATTCCACAGGACTTCACTTTCAATGGGTAAAGAATGCTCATTTCTAAAACTTTCTTTTCTGATACCTTGTTGTAACATTACAACAAGTTGTAAGGAATGAAAAGAGCACACATCTTTATTTTTCAGATGAAACAAAACATTTCATCCTCCCACACATACACAAAAAAAAAGTGTGTACCTTGTCCAAAATGATTCAGTGGCAGGGATATTGCCAGGAGCAGACAAAGGTCCTGAGACCATCAGCCCAGCGCCAGCTACATGAGCACACTGCATCCCAGAATAAGGACCAGGCGTCAATCTGAACATCAGCCAGGCTGACCTTCAGCAATAACCAAGACTCGCCAGTCTCCTGGTGCATCACAGCACTGTCAGTTTCTTCCACTGATTGCGTCTCCAGAAAAGATTGAAGGCAGGATCCAAAGGGCATTTCGCTGTCTTCTGATTGGGGGTCATCATACTTGACAGTGTGATGGCTGTGTGACACACTCAGTAGGTGGCAGAACAGGAAGCCCCTGGAAGCTGAGCTCCTAGCCCAAGGCTTGTGGCTCCCTCGCCCCATGTTCTTTCCATTGCTCCATGTCATGACTAGTCACCCACTGTTCTTGAAGTGCACGTAAACCATTGCCCAAAATGCCTATTGATGAAGGATCCTGGGATGCAGTTGCAGGAGAGGCCCAAAAGTGCAACACTGCATCCCTGGCTCCATTATTAACCAGCTACAAGAGTTTGGGAATGTTCTTCACGTCTCTAGGCTTCAGTCTATTTCCTATAAAACCATAGGCAAAGCTTCTTCCATTTTTAAAAGTATATCTAATGACTTTCGTGGTTCTTTTAAAGTGCAGAATTCAGTAGAAATAGGCAAAGGAGAGACTGAGTCCCAGGGACTGAGTCACATCTATTCCAACATCGTATAGTCAGTTTCCTATGGAGGACATGGGGATGCCACTGAGCTCCAAACCCAGGGACTGGAAACTGGGATTCTGGGATTCACCAACAACTGTGTAGGCATACCTCACATTCTTCAGTGAAAGAAAAATGTTCTCCAAATAAAGTGAGTAAAATGGAGGCAACAGAGAACATCCAAGAAAGAGAAGGTAGTGAGACATAACAAGATGCAGAAAGAAGATAAATTAGGGGAACATTTTTTAAGGAAATTAACTTTGTGTCCAATTTGATTCTTAAAGTGAAAAGAGACCAACTCACAGTAACAAATAGGTGATGATGGATATTAAAATAAAGACACTGCTGATGGCCTCTCCTTAGATTGGCCCTGACAGAAAACACAGCACAGGCTTGGGGACCCAAAAACAAAGCGGCCTCAAGCTCTCAGCTCCCCCTTGCCAACCTTGTGAGGTGACAAGGGCCCACTGAGTCAGAGTGGGAGATACTCTGCTCCTTGGAAGTCAGAGTACTCTCCCATATATGGTTAGGCCTTTTATTAGTCAGTTGTCACTTGAAGACACCTCTAAAGACCAGGTTGAAACACAAAATTACTAAGAGAAGGATGTCAGGTCCAGCTGGTGCCTGTCTCTGGGAGGTAGCTCTACTGAGCTATCACCTGGGGTTTGTGTGCAGACTTCCTGAGCACCTGCACCACTGTGGAAACTCAAAGCACAATAATAAGTAGCACTATCTTCGGTCCTCACTGGGTTGATGACCAGGTGGAAGGTTTTATGGGTTTGACTGTGCTTCACATAAAATCGACGTTGAACAAATTCTGCATCACGAGACCTAGTGTTATCCCTGTAAAGGATAAACTGAAAGGACTGATCTGCCCTTCTTCGGTACCAATATAAATCTGGATTTAACAATGTAGTTTGATAAGTGCAGAACAATGTTATCTCACTGCCACTTGTCACCATCTGGTCCTGGGAACTCTGGGTCACTTTGTCACACAGCATGCCCTTGTCTGTGAACAGGAGAAATGAGACAATAGTGAATTTTGCACTCCCCAGGTACCGAGTCCAGCACGGGCCAGTACAGAAGATCTCAGTTGGGAAAGATAAGAAGGACACAGAAATGAAAGTTAAAGGCAGAGAATGACTAAAAAAACCAAATGTGCAAGAGAAAGAGGACAAGCCTTCAAAAGTCACAGAAAGGGAAATGGGGTGTAGAACAAGAGAAACAAATCCACTTACAGAAAAACAAAAGGCTGAAGCCCACAATTAAACTCATCTCCTTTTCCTTTCAGAGCAGGGGGATGCAGAATAAAACAAGGTTCCTGAAATCTCTGAGGCCATTCTAGGCTTTTGACAGGAAGAGGACAGGAGGATGGGAGGAAGAGGATGAGGTGAGGCAGGAAGCCCCGATCGTCACGTGACTGGATTAGCTGCAGCTCTGAGGCAAATGCACCAATGGAACTGTTCTGGTGGCAGTAATGTTGGTCTTCAATCCAACATTGATAATTGTTTTTGATGTTTCTGATATGAACTTGTACCAGCCAAGTTTAGTAAAAATACAAAAATGCTGATAACATACAGCTCAGACTGCACCCATTACATTTATAGATGTCACAAAGTTCTGTCTGTATGCATTGTGTGTCTAGAAACATAGAGTAATAATTGTTCTGTACATTAATCTTTGAAATCATGTAGAAAAAAATAGCAATGGCTTTCACAATTGTCCATGTACTTAACCTGTACCAGCTGTCTTGCGTTCCTCATTCAGCTTTGAATTGATTTAATTTTGACAATGAAAACAAATCACTTTTTAAAAGAAAGGAAGAAAGAAGAGAGAAAAGGGGGGAGAGAGGGAAAAGAGAGACAGTGTGCCCCAGGACAGCAAGCTAGGATATCAAATTGCTATAAAAATAATTCCCTGTTTCTGAATCCTCTGGTCACAGACTGGTGTACCAGTCCACAAATCACATTTTAAACAGCCCTGTCTCACAGAACCTAGCACAGATGCAGCACTTGATAAAATGGAACAAATGGATGAGTATCTTTGTAGTATCAATAATGGAAAAAGTGACTAAGAAGGGAGGAAGTGAGTTGAAAAAGACGGTTTCTAAAATCTGTCTGAAATACTTTTAACATTTTTATTAGCACATATCAGTTGTACATGGGGGAGATTTCATTGTGACCCCTATAGAAATACTTTTAATAAACAGCCATGCAATGGTAAATTTCCTACTGTTAACCAAAACTTCATGAGCTAACAAATATGATAGACTTGTATTTAATTTACTTAGCTCTCTTAATTGTAATGTTACATAGTTAATAAAATTCTATTATAAAAATAAAACTTCTAAACTGAAAAATATATATATATAATCTGTCCAAGTCCTGGGTTCTAGAAATCTTTGATTTCAGATTTTTGAGGAAGTGCTCTCATCCTGAGATCCACCCATGTGGCTTCTTAATCTCCTTTTGGACCCTTTTCAGTACCACTTGGTTCCAGTTGGAAAATTCTGCCCTAAAGCTGAGCTTCCTGGTTGGTAAACTGCATGATGGGTCCCTGAGATGGTGCTGAGTGTGGTTGTGTGTGCCTGGGGAGGCTGGAGCCCCTAAACCACCCCCTCCCAGCCACATGCCATATAAATATGATTATCCATGCAAGCCATGACACAACATTTGGGAAGAACTGCTCTAAAAAAAGAGAACATTAACTCAATCCTCAAACCTAGGAGTATTTCTAGGAATATCTGTTTTTCCCTACATCCAATTCTTCAGGAAGACCTGTCAGTTCTGCCATAGAGGTACATCTCCAGTCCAACTACTTCTCCCACCTCCAGTGCCACCTCCAGTACCATCAACTACTACAGGGACCACTGCAATAATCTCCTGGCACGTCCCCTAGCTCTATTTTTGTCCCTGGACAATCCATTCTCCAGGTCTTTATAAAATGTAAAGCACATAATGCTAACTGGACCTCCTTTCTTGAGTCTTTAACACCCTGCAAAGATCTGGCCTGTATCCAAATATATATATATAATCTGTCCAAGTCCTGGGTTCTAGAAATCTTTGATTTCAGATTTTTGAGGAAGTGCTCTCATCCTGAGATCCACCCATGTGGCTTCTTAATCTCCTTTTGGACCCTTTTCAGTACCACTTGGTTCCAGTTGGAAAATTCTGCCCTAAAGCTGAGCTTTCCTGGTTGTAAACTGCATGATGGGTCCCTGAGATGGTGCTGAGTGTGGTGTGTGTGCCTGGGGAGGCTGGAGCCCCTAAACCACCCCCTCCCAGCCACATGCCATATAAATATGATTATCCATGCAAGCCATGACACAACATTTGGGAAGAACTGCTCTAAAAAAAGAGAACATTAACTCAATCCTCAAACCTAGGAGTATTTCTAGGAATATCTGTTTTTCCCTACATCCAATTCTTCAGGAAGACCTGTCAGTTCTGCCATAGAGGTACATCTCCAGTCCAACTACTTCTCCCACCTCCAGTGCCACCCCAGTACCATCAACTACTACAGGACCACTGCAATAATCTCCTGCACGTCCCCTAGCTCTATTTTTGTCCCTGGACAATCCATTCTCC